TAGCCCAATAACAGTGCGCAATAGTGTGCCAGTCAAAACCCGTGCTAATATGCTACTGTGCAGTAGTTTCAGGCTACTGTGCAGTAAGTGTCACTAAAAAACCATGTGCCGGCACTACTGCACAGTAATTATAGTTACTGAACATTTAGTTAGTACTTCATTATGCAAGTACTAAACTAAATGCACTGTAACTACTGTGCATTAATGAACATGTAGATGTACCTAGTGAGATTTAAAATCAGTAAGGAAAAAGGTTCTCACTGAAAGAAAGTTTTCTACCCCAAATTAGGACAAAGGAAGCTTACTACATAGGATGGGGTTGTAGAATAGAGAGAGAGAGAGAGAGAGAGAGAGAGAGAGAGAGAGAGTACACACTTATTTCTCTTTTTCAAGAGCATCACTTTACTGGAAAGCTAAACAAAACTTTAACTAGTATTCAGATTAGCAAAAGGAATGTGTGACAGGGGGCCATCACAAGGCCAGTCTCAACGTTGGGCCTCCCACCTGTCTAGGGCAGTCTGCCCACCTGCCTCGCCTTTGTTGTAACTTAATAAGTAGTTATTTACAAGGTGGGATGCTGACCATTTTACTGCCAGATGGTAAGGACATAATACACGGCTCCATTATGCCCCTACACTGTGAGGCCCCATGCTCGGGCCAGGACCAGAATGGTCAAAGGGCAGGGATGCCCACCATGAGGGACAGCTAGAGCCAGGGGCCTGGAGTTCTGACTGCCCTAGAGGTGAGGCTGGGGCTTGTGAGGCCAAAGGTCCCAGAGGGGACCACTGCTGAGAGGAAAGTCTAGGGAGTTTTGCAGCCCAGAACGAGGGCAGAGATTAGGCTGTCTGAATAGGAGGGATCCAGGTTGGGTCTGAACATCAGGCAGGCATATGGTGAAGCTCAGTATGGGGCCAGAGCCATATAGTGATGCCATCTATGAGACATGGGAGGCATGCCATCTGTGAGGCATGGGGACTGAGGCTTTCTAGCACCCCATATTCACCTTTCATTTGGGAGGCAAAGATGTGGCATTTCCAGGAGACTGCGCCATCACAGCCAGCCCCACCATACCATCCAACCCCAGCAGGGTGTAGTTTCTGGTCATGCCTCAGGACCAGGAACCTCCTCCATCCCCATAGTTCCTACCCTGACCTCCAGGTGTTCTAGGAGCAGCAGATCTCTGGCTGGGCAATGTTACTCCAGTGACATCCCTACAGCAACTGCCAGCTCAGTTCTGAGGGCCTGCGTTTATACTGAGGCTGCCCAGTACCATCCTCCAATACAGAAGACCTCTTGTGGTCATGTGACCACCACACCTGCTGGCTGCTCCACAGCTTGCTTAAGCCTCTTAAAGTGGCAAGCACCAAAGGTGCCCTGCCACAGAGTACAAAAACATTCTCAGGTCTGGCAGGAGGAGTGTGAGGCTAGAACTTGATCTCTTGTTGGTTGCTCTGTTCCTCAATTCCCCATCTTTTCTGGGTTTATGATCATAAATAAACAATTATTAAAAGGTATGCATTGATCTACCCTTTGATTTGGTATTTGTTAATGAGGAGGTTGGTCATGAGCAGAGATCCTGGTTTTCTCCATTTTAAAAACTGCAAATTCTCTCATAAAAAACCCCCAAATCTATGTTTTTCCACAATTAAAATGAAATGCCACTATATATCAGTTAAACACAACATTGTATTTACAATTTTAAAGCAATTTGGAAACTTACTAGTGCCTCAATCACTATAATAAAATAAATTTTAAATACCTATACATTTTGGCATTTGATTTTGGGGTTTTTATGGGTATTTTTTGTTTTTGTTTTGGTTTTTTTAGGGGGGGAAAAAAAAAAAAAAAAAAAAAAAAATCAGAGCTCCCCCTGCCACCTCTGCTCACCAGGATGTGGGTCCAGCTGTGGCTGTCCCCCACACTGCTTTGTGGTACTGAGAAGCCCTGATATCCTGGAGCCTTGTCCATGCCATTGCCTCTCACTCCCAGCCCTACTGGTGCTCCTCACTTTTGACCCACAGCCTCCTGGGGTTAAAAATAACAACAGATCACGCTGACTGTTGATATATTGGTATAGCTTTCCACTACATATATATTTTTGATTAATTAAACCGGGACCAGAACTCTTGAATTCCTATCTAGGATCAAATCCTAGCCTAAACTTTCCCAAAGTTGAGTTGGGCAGAAGTCTGCTTCAGATCATATTCTTACCCAGATTTGGCTTTGGATGTAAAATTTAAGGATCCATTGTTCAGAGAGGTCCAATTTCAACAGCTTGTTTCAGCAATCTTTACATTTACAAGAAAACAATGAGTAATTACATTACTCATTGTATGGTCTGGAGGAAATCGCTATGCAGTAGGTGCACAATTGGTTGGAAACTCTACTCAAAGACTGGTTATCAGTCATTCACCGTCAAACTGGAGGGATGGACCAAGTGTGATTCCATGGGATCTGTCTTGAGTCTGGGACTAGTCAATATTTTCATTAATTACTTGGATGGACTAGAGCAGGGACTCTCAACTTCTGGCCCACAGGCCAAATGCAGCCCATGGAGACATTGCATCTAGCCCATGGGGCTTCCCATGGGTCCGGAAATTTGGCACCTGGAAAGTAGTGGTCATTGAAAGAGCCATGCTTCCCCCAGTAAATCTCCAAACCCAATTCCCTGAGGAGCTGGTTGGAGCCAAGCTAAGCCTCCATCCCCTGCAGGGCTGGGCCATGCCCCCTCACTTCTGGACTGGGGCTAGGCCACACGCCTTCCCCCCATGAGTCTGGGTTGGGCCCTGGTCATATCCCCTTCCCTCCCAGGACCTGGCCACACCTCCTTCTGTTTCCCTGGTGGAGTCAAGCTCCTTTGCCCTGTGGGGCCGAGTTGGGGCTGCCTTTCACCTCCACCCCCCTGTATAACAAGATGGTGCTCGCCATGCCCGCCTAGGTGCCAGATTGGGAGCGCTGGCTGGATTCTGCCTGCGGGTGGACCAGGTATTGTCAATCCGGCCTCCCAGGCAAAAGGTTTGGGCAGGACGGGACTACAGAGTATAGAGAATACACTTTTTAAATCTGCCAGTAGTACCAAGCTATGAGACTACATGCACTTTCAGGGATAGGATTAGAACTGAATTGGAAAAAAAATGGAAGAAATGCTTCAAAATAAATCTGATGCAATTGAATAAAGTGCAAAGAGCTGCCCCTGGGAAGGGACAATCAGCTGAAAAGTACAAGGTGGGGAGCAGCTTCCTAGGCAGGCATTGTGCAGAAGAACCGCTGGGTGTTATAGTGGATGATAAATTGAACATGAGTCAGCAACAACATGCTGTTGTGAAAAAAAGCTAGTGCCACGCTGAGGAGTATAACAGGAATGTTGTATGAAAGACACATGAAGTAATGCTTCCTCTCTATTCAGCACAGGACCTCAGCTGGAGATCTGTAAGCAATTTTGGATGCTGATTTTGATGAAAGATGTGGATTCAGAGGAGAGCAATAAAACATGCTGTATCAGGAAAGA